CGCGGGTGAGTATCACCGGCAAATGATAGATCGAAGGAATATCGACGGAGGCTCGAGTGACGAGGTTGACGAGGGGTGGAACGAGGGGTGAAACGTGAGGGTTAAAGGGATACGAAAGGGGGAATGAAGGAGAATGAAGGGGAATTGAGGGGGCGGGTGATGATGGGGTGGCGTCGACGAAGGAGAGAGTGAAATAGAATAAAAATGAGAGGAATTGGATTTTGTCGTAACTCGCGAATGTCGTGATTCGATAAGGGTTCGATGAGGACGCCGGTGTCGGGGGTCGAATGGTTCGAAAAAAAGAAATGGAAAAATAAAAAAGAAGAGGTTGAGGGGGGGAGGGTGCACTCCGGCGACACAAGAGTGCCAGCTCGTCGGAGGGTCGACACGATCGACTCTTCGGGTAAAAATCTTCCGACAACGAGAGTCACGCCAATGGACACGTTATACCGGGTCGTATAGGAATCACGTGGGCCGGAATCAAAGTCAATACAGAAAATGGGATAGGTGGTGGCAGATGTCGGGGTGATGGGGAAGGGGGGGGGGGGTAAACTGTGAGGGGTGTAGACGTACCCTATGGATTTTATGGTGCGGTGAGGGACCAGAGACTGTTGACGGCCTCTCGCGTAATTCTATACGTTTACGCGTAATACGCGCCACAATACTTGCTCATTACATGACGGTGAATAAGGTGCTGGGTGCTGTTTTTTTTTTCGCGCGGATATACTTCACATTGCTATATTTCATTTCCATTATTATAGTTTTACTCAGCTATTTTTTTCCACTTTTGTTCTTTATTAAATTCATATAAGTTGTTCTACTGGTTTAACCTAGTGACCGATTGACTATGCTATGCTACAGGCTACCGCTATGGGTATCTCTTTAATTTTTTTCCCCTCACTTGCCACCATTCGTTTCTATTTTTCACATTCTGTTTGTCTTTTTTGTTTGTCGTTAACAATGAATAATCTACGGGCATGCGTACTGTACCGCGCGTGTGCATGTCTTTGAGTGTTCTGTATGTCTTCAATTTTCGGGCTATTGGTGTCCACTTAAGATATAATTGGCTCTTAATGGTTTAATGTTATTCTGCCTAGGTGTCTCTTTATTCCGTTGCTTTGAGTTTGCTTTGATATTCAACTGGATTTGTCTGTTATACACAATCACACAGTGTAAATCTATATTGCAGTAAGCCCACTCACCTTCATTTCACTCAATTTACGCCTTTGTCGAGCTTTTGGCTGTCACCAACTTAGCAAAATTCGTCGACATCCTAAAGTTCAATAATTATTTACTTATTATTTATGGCCTTATTGAATATACTCCTTCATCCACGGTGGTTATGGGTTAATTAACGTGTCATGTCGTCTTCCGCACACTAACTACACACACGGCCTTGTGTATTTAACTATCACTTAACCAACTAACAACTACATCCCTTAGTTACATTATACATATGCATAGGAAGGCAAGTTCGAGTGTAAAGTGAAATCGTTCTTTTACCATACAAAACAATCACTTTTGTACTTTCACTCCACACTGGCACTAGTCCTACATTCTCTTTATTTATATATATATATATATAATTTTTTTTGTTTGTCTCGTATATATAACTATTTTCATATATTCATTGATTTATTTATATTATGTATATATGTATATTTTGTCCGAACTTTTAGGGTTTTTTTTTCCATGGCTTTTCTATCAACTTTCTTATATGATTTTCATTCTATCGTTCGGGGCTAAAACGTCCCCGCAATTGTTGGTTTGAGAACAAAAAGAAATTGATGGGAGGAAGGTAGACGTCCGGGGGGGCTACCTTCCTCGAAAGTCTGAGAGGCGAGTCGAGAGTGCCACGAGTCCCAGTAATTCGTAGCGCTGGGGAATCGATTTCCTATTTCTTAAAAGCGTGCAAAATTCCAAGTGGAACAGTGGGGATGTTTGGGGATTCGTTGGGTGGGTGGTGGGCTGCAAAAAGGGGGGTGGCGGGGGTGGGGTAAGTGGTTGGGAGGGGTGAGAGCACTTGGCGATGGGAACGAGTGAAAACGAGAGAGTGGCGCAAAGCAAGCACAATAATTTCGACTACGTTCTCTCGATTATTGCGATAGCCTGATTCTCGAATTCTTCGTATAATCTCCTTCCCCTTTACCCACACCAGTCGGTGGCAAATAGAAAATACTTATTTCTGGTGGCTCCAGACAGGTGCCCATTGACATACAACCGGGCGGCTAAATTCTCTCTCGCATTTTCCCCTGGCACTCGCGACTCGCAACTCTGAAACGTTATTTCTGTTTTTTTTTTTCATTGATTCTTTTTTAGAAAATTTTTCCTATAATATTTTTTTTTTCTCCTAACTAAGTATTTACAAGTTGTATAGTGCTCGTCCGGTGCGCACGGACGAACTTCGTTTGCGTTATCAATTTTTTTTTTTATTTGGGAATTTTTTTTTCTTTTGGGATTTTTTAAGGTTTTTTGGTTTGTTGACGCACACTTAACGTTGAACCACGTCATACCCTAGCACTAGTCTACAACGTATGTTTACTTAGCGTAAGACACGCTCGCAATAGTTATACACCGGCAATTGTGCACATCCATCGACTGAGCCACACGTCAATTTATTAATTCTTCAGGTTTTCTTCTGGGCTTAGTCATCTAGTTTTTGTTTATTTTTTTTTCAATGGTTTTTTTTCGCTATTCGTCGCACGTGTCATGACCTTAGTAAGGCTACTTGGTTTCGGTATGCGCGTTTGATGAATTCCACAGATGTGTTTTTTCCATTTTTTTATGGTCTTTCCACTCTTCGGAGGGTCGCGATATTCGTTGATTTTATTTGTTTTTCATTCTTCTTGAATCCTTCAATTTCAGTCATTCTCTCGAATCGGGCGCGAAAGGGTTAGATGAGTTCAAATATACCATAGATCAGCCAACATTGAAAATCGACTTGAATCCGTTTTCTGTTTGGCTAGTCAAAAGTCAAAAAAAAATTCGGGAATTCTTGAAAATCGGAAAGTTGGTTTGCATGACGTTTTTTTAATTAAAAAAATTAATTTCAATCACGTCATAATAAGTCCTCGGGATAATAACTCGGTAGGGGATTTTTATTGATCAGCACCCGGATATTTTCGATACTGTATCATCGAGTCTACTTTTTGACTGAATACCACGGGAATTTTTTCCACGCCAGAAATATTCTTGTATTTTTTTACCCTGCGGTCATAGTCGTGGGGTGAAATGTGACTCTGATAAAAAGTGGTGGTTTCGGGTGGAAATTATGTCACGATCAACCGGAATCTCCCGTAAAGGGAATAATCCACACGACCATGGAAAAAAAAAACTAGAAACCAGCGGTCAAATATCATGAATCGAACGAAGTAGAGAACGTGATGTAGACAGAAGTAAAAATTGAGGCTAATAGCACCAAAAACGCTCGATAAAGTTCGCAGGAATCACCGCTTTTTTCTTTCCATCCACATTCCCTTGTCCACTAAATTTCCCGGCATTTGTCGAAAGGATTTTCCGTGAAAATTCCCCTCAGTCTCAACAAAACTCTCCAAAAAAAAACCCTCGACATTAAAAATCCTTGCTTCCAACATTAATTAATGTTTTCCCAACCTCGAGGAACTTTTTCCCCCGTTAACAACAACCGAATCCCGAATTGAACACAAGGAGAAGAAAAATCGAACTACAATTATCAGCGGAAACCCTCGAAATTGGTGGAAAAAAATCAGGGAACATTAAATGCGTGCCGAAAGCGTGGAGCCACGTCGACGTTGAATTTTTTTTCACGCGTTCACCCAACTTTTTTCTCCATTCACACACATTCCCCGGAGCCTTTACAAATCAAATACAATTTAATTGAATGTTACAATATAACTAGTTTGCCAATGAGGAAATCAGAGTGTACTGGGAGTATTGGTGTGTCGGTGGCCACAATTCACTAACTGTATTTCACCGATGTCGATGAGCCGGGCATGGCTGTCGAATGGGTTAGTTCCCTCATTTCCTACTCACGCGTCACACGCAATCGACATGGGTATCGAGCACACCGGTGACTCGGGAAGCAATCATCGCAGAGTGTATTTCGATTACGATAAATCGACAACGACCACTCTCTTCCCCCTGTGTGTTTCATCCCCTCGCCGCCCACAACACGCCACCCAACCGCCCAACCACCCTACCGCCCTACCGCCCTACCGCCCCTTCCAGCCACTACATCGACGATTTCGCTTTTAGTTCTACCTCAATCGTTAATCACGCAAAGTACCGGTAAAGTACATTGGGGACAGATGATAGGAAACACATCAAAGCTACCGAGACACTGGGGTTCAAACGAAAATTCACCCCATCAATTGATTAACCCAATTGTCAATAGAATTTCGTGCAAAAGTGCTGTATGTTATTAATTCGATGTATCCTTCAACATTTCTCTTTATAAATTTTCTCACTTTTAAACAGTCTCCCCCAAACAACCAAAAAATAACGGTTAAAATATTTTTTTCTTGTCTTTAATTAAGCGACGTGTGCTAAAATCACGACCGGGCAACTATTCAATTGCACGCGCGCAAACACAGTTTAAAATTTTTTTTCATTCCGCGAATGGATTACGAATGGACTCGTATGCACCGATGTAATATGTATCTTGACATTATATTAATATGTGTATTATATACCTACCTATCTAAGTTGGAGTGTTTTTTTTTGTTCGTTTTCTCAATTAGTTTCTTAATAATCTCAGCGCGAATTTGTGAGTTGCACCGGAATTTTTTTTTAAGTAACAGCCCCCGATTCCAATAATTCCGTCAAATTGTGCGCATACGCATGATCACAAGTACTTAGTGGGACTCAACAGATAAATTTCTTCCTGTTGATCAATGTATATAATCAATCCGGAGAGGATAGGAGACAGATCGGAGCGATTGGAGTTACTGACGAGTCTGCATTCCCCTCATTGTCGAGAAGATTGGCTTCTGGTATAATTAATGCACTGTTTCATTATGTTCTTTTTTTTTGTAGTGGGCCCCATCGATGTACAAACTAGCTATAAAAAAATAACGGATTCTCTCGCACAGAATCGCCGGCGCTCCGCTTTCGCTCGGAATATTTTCTAAGGACGAGAAAATTGCGGAAAAACGAGGGAACCCGTCGGGAGAGACGAATCGTGAGAATCGTTACGGTAGTGTGATAAATTTTAATTATATTTCATTAGGGGTGAAAATCAGACATGGCACTAGGCGTTCTCCTAACGAGCCGGCAATGGACCCTTTTTGTCTTCTGAATAGCTCCGCGACACTCAAAAAAAAATATTCAAAGACACAAAAATGTCATCCTAAATTTGAAAAAGGTGATGTGCTACGCGGGGCACATGGTTTTAATTAATTTTAAAATAATTTTTAATAAAATGTTGCGATGATGAATGGCTTTTCACTTTTCAATATAATTATTCTCGTAGAGTTACTTCAACTGGATTGAATGGACTCGAGGTGAAAGTAGAAAGCATTGCAAAAAACACTACATTTTTGACAAATCAACAGAGAGAAAAATTTCCCAAAGAGCAAATCCCGGAAAACGGTGGGTTTTTCTCTCTGCATTGATGGACATATTCTTTCCGCATAGAGTGACATTTCTGTGAATTTCTGCTAGGATCAATTACAAACCCGATGAATAGCGCTGGAATCGACAATAATATTCTCGATTCACGGATAACTCCGGTGGAGATTGAAATTTATGCATGGTACAAAAGAAAATAATGAAAAAAACAGCGGTATCTGTGGCGCGGTTTGTCAGAGGAAACGAATGAAGATGCGGAGAATGGCATGTATCACGTTAAAGCGATATACATTTACGCAGGAGTATCTTGTTCAACATACATATCATTTGTTCGTTATCGTACACGACGCTAAAACCCAAACGCTGCACAAACCGGCTTGATGAATAATAAAAAAATGTCTTTTCATGTGGTTGATTACGTCGGTGGAATTCGAGAACGCAAGGATAGGGAGGAGGTTGGTTATTTTTTTGTTTTCGCGTCCGACCATTGGATTTTCTCATGTTTTATTGCAACTCTTATGATTAATTCTATCATTCCATTTTATCTCGGGTGTCTGGTTGATCGATAATTGTAGGTATCTCCACAGGACCTTCCACCTGGCGTTCCTCCTCCTCCGCCATCTCCACCTCCTCCTCGGTCGCGTTCTCTGGTGGCTCGTGGTGTCACATACTTGCTTGTACCAATCCGCGTGATACTAGTTAGGGTATCGTTGGTGGCGACGGTTGTGGCGTTAACGTTTGTTCCTGTTGGTGAGGGGTGCTTGCTTACCATCACACTAGGAGGCTAGGCGTCAGCCAGTCCTCATCCGCTAGCTGGACCGCAACCAAGAACACACTTTACCATTTGAACACACAAACGAATGGTTAAGTCTTGTGTCCGAATTTTTCAAGGATTAGTATATCATTTTCAATTGGCTTTTTTTTCGAGGCTGGTCATACGTCCTCACTTGCACATGTCCCTTTTTAATCAATCTACGGTGGATGCTCAGAAACACATAGGACACTGGAAATATCATTCACTGACGGGAGAATCTTGTCCTGACGAGATTGCAAGTTGAATATTTTTTATAATGAGGAAATAGAGCTTTTCGGATTGACCGCTGATTGAGGATACTGCTTATATTTGTTCAGATTGGAAAAAAGCTCAATGGTAAAAAACATTTTCAATATATTTCTATTAATATTGGAAATTCGCCGGTTTCAAATGATTCGGGGTTATCTGAGTTTCAATTTATGGGACTATATTTTAAGAGAATCTGGAAATAGAAATATAAGCGTGAGGAGCCGTAAATATTTGATTTTGTTAGCGTTGGAAATCACAGAGTGCCGAGCGGAAATAAAAATAAAAGTCCAGGGATCATAAATAAAAATTTCATACTCGGTTTTCATTGAAAAATCTGAAGATTAAGTGAATTTCTTTCAAAATTGAATTTTTCGTTACTTCATTAGCCATTTTTATAATTGAAAGGACTGTTAATACCGTTGATGAATCAAATTTCTCATTCGTTGAAAAAACTTGAGCGGCCATGAACAGCTCAGCATGAATGAATATTGAAGTGGTAAAATAAAATAGTCTCATGTTTTTAAATTATCACTTTATGCCCATACTTAGAGATCGATAATATTAAACAAAATGGCCTACTTCGATTTAACTTTATTTACCACTTGATTACAGAAATACCTATTGTCTCGATAAAAATCAATGTATTTCTACTCTAATTCTCCAGGAAAGCGGAAATTTAGAGGATTGTTCATCATAAAATTGAGTTGGTGACTGAACAACACTCCTAAAACCACCGAAGCAAATGAGGTCGTACTTTTAAAAACGGAAACATCCGAGCCCTTTCAACATCACCATTTGCAACTCTTAATCCCGTCGTGACACTTCTCCACCAACATTCCCAATTGAAGAATAATTTTATTTTCCGTGGATATCCATCTACCCAATATTTTACACATTTTAAGCATTTTGCCACGGTATTCGCCAGAAACGTTCGATCAATCTCGAGTCACACCAGCCACACAGTAAATTCAATTCGTCTTTAGATCGATTGCATTTTCCGACCTTCTTAGTGGCCGAGACGTGCTTGGAGAATGAGCCAACGTCGGCGAATATACGGTGCTGTTATACAGGGAACTACTGGCACAGAGTGAAGACAGGAGGAGGGGAATCGGTGAGGTATGAGGAGGACGAAGGGGGTATGCACTACAGCATCGACACATTCGATAGTAACGACAAGGCAGTTCTCGTGCACTGGCAGTGGCAGCAATCAGCGTGTCTGTGAACCCCAAATACACCATATAGAAATAGCAATTCGCCCAATTCCCATCCCTTCCCCAATCTCCCTGGACCGTGAGGTTTCCTGGTAAAGTCGAAGCTCCTCGTCGACAATCTCAACTGCTTTTCCATAACACTCGGCAATACCGTGCATAACAATTCGACTGGCAGTCAGTACTTGAGATGATTATTGCATGCTTTTGTTGGTGCGTGCAGGGACACATTCAAGCAAAACTACCTTTACATTCAATGGAGTTAATCAGAATTAGATGTACAGAGAGAAGTGCAAACTCATTGTCAAGGGAACATGAATTGGGTCCACGATGGCGGAATAATTCCTGGGTAATAAGGAGTGAGAGAGCCATAAAGGAAGCCAATTTCTTGAGTAGAGAGTGGCACGGGAATTTTATTCAATGGGTTCTTCACGTCTTTAGGTATCTTCGTCCAGGACTAATAATTCATCTGGATGTAATTTTCCAGTGACATTGGTTTGCGTTTTTTCTCTCAACGTTCGGAGCGAGCGTGTGCTTAAAACGATTATTCTCATTCAATTGTTCAGTACATTACTCTATCTCGAAGGTGACTTGATTTTTTGATTCATTCATAAGTATAAGGGATGATGAGTACTTCGGGTAAGCGGTTGGTTTGGCCGCATCGTTTTTATCGTGCGATAAAATGATGACGCTGAGACCAGAGCAATCTATGCATTCAGCCAAGCGAATTAAGCACAATGATGAAAATGGAATGGTGGATTATGATATTACCTGGAATTGTTGCATAGGATAGGCCATCATTTGCGCTGGTGGTGGTGGGGGTGGTGGGGCAGTTTGTACACCGGGAGGCGCCGTGACTGTCGTTGCATGGTGAGGTGGTAACTGAGGTCCACCAGGTAAACCCTGGCCCCAGCCTGCTGCTGTACCCGCCGCATGAACACCCATACCCATTCTGTTGATTGATCCATTACAATCCATACGTTAAACACAATGTCAAGAGGGTGTGTACGAAGAAAGCTATTGATTTAAAATATTGATTGACTTCCACTAGTCAAGAAGTCAAGAGTAAAAAGGGGTCAGAAATAAAATAGTTCCCTAGTCCAGTTTTCGATGGCAATTTATAAAAGTGAAATATTTATGGAGGAGAAGTATATTTAATTAATTGATTAGTTATTGGTAAAAAATTACCCCATGTACTGTGCCTGTTGGTAACCGGCGAATTGTCCGTACGTGTAGCCCTGCATTCCCTGTAGAAATCCACCAGCTTGCATTTGCGTTGCAGCAGTGGTGGGATAAGATTGTGGAGGATACCAGTAGGAAAGTTGTCCAGCACCACCAACACCACCAACACTACCCACACCACCAGCTGCGGCTGCGGCCAGTTGCGCCGCTGCAGCAGCGTAATAAGGATAGGCTGCTGAAGACAGTGGCTGAATAAAAAAAAAGAAGAAGAAACATTTGTCAAGAGGTACAAAACTGGTGAGTCGCCAATTATTCCAACGAAATGCTGTAATCGTCGGTGTATTGTCCCTCGGTTTCATTAGTAATTTACTGCTGAATACCTTCTGACAAGAAAGAACAGTTTGAGAAACTGTTGGATCGATTCTACTCGGCAAAAAAACCTCCACTTGGTGTAATTTATTGAAGTGCATATCTGAAATTTTTAGCTTTCCGTCTGGGTGAAATGATACTCGTGAAACAGTCAGTTTTTAAGGAATCGTTAAGTCGAAAAATCCCGAGTACTTTTAACACAGTTGTAAAGAATGAGTGGCAATTGCCATAAATATGTCAGTAAAATTCAAACGACGACAGGTATATTATAGCTTCGAGAAAGAAAATTATTAAGTCAATTAATAATATTGTCATCTATAACCACGATCGGAGGGGAATTTGGATTATCATTTTCTGGAGTTGAATGATAGACTCTCCCGATTTCTCTCAGGCTTCTACTTGTTAGAAGCTTTAAAGAATTTTGATAGAATTGACAGTAGACAATTGTCAGTGCATCGTTTATTTTTTTCGAAGTGATGAATGAAAAGTCATAAAAATTCAAGGGAAAACGGAAAATTCATGTTTTGTTTGTCAGAATTCTTGATATTATGGAAAATTCTTGATTTAACATAGAACAAAGAGTTATTAATCCCGTTCAGAATCAATTTCGTGGGGGTTGTTGATAGTACAACCCCAGTGACGACCACTAGTCCGCGGGGAGTACAGGTCAATTAGTAGAACGTCACAGAGGGCAAAGTGAGAGTCACAGTGCTTTAGACGGATAGGCGGAAATAGTTGGTGACGAGGATGGCTCTCACTATTCCCAGATCGGACATATCCACTCGTCTTAACGGCGCTAATTGCTAAGGGACCCACTCGATCCGCCATGTAAGCCAGAGTGAGACGACTAGAATGTGCTCTCCACTGTGGAATCGGGGATTGCAAATGGGAGGAGGAGAATTTCCACTGCCTCCAGTGAAAATTCTCTCTCTCTCGGTCTCTTGGAAACTTCCTGGTGAATCTTCCCGCGAGAGAGCAACTTGTACGCCCTTTTCCCATAGCCCATCATCTAACTCACCCATCCAAATTACTTCCACGCATACCTGAGACGTACGCCAATAACAATTTTATCGAATGGGGACGTAAGGGAGCCATTGCGAAGAGTAACACTGACTGACGGAAAAAATTACCTCATACCGCGAAAATCATTGCACAAAATCATTTTATGTTAAATTCACATATTTTTTTGAAGATTTTTTACTCTATCCTGAGACCAAAGAATATGTGAATGATTTTCATTTTTTTTTCACTGAAATTTTCAGATTTTATTTATTTTATCACTCTTACCGGAATTACAATTGAAATTCAAGTATTTTATCTATTTTATGATTTGGATAATTTTAAAAGAGGAATAATGAAATATTTCATTTTTCAATATCACAATTTCCCGAAATTCCAGTGGAAGCTGAATAATTTTGAAAAAATTAAAAAATTTCAGGATTCAGCTGTGGAATTTAATGGAAAAATAGTCACCACTGTAAGTTGCTTTTCTCGTCAATGCAGACGTTATGAATCGATAAAGAATGATAACAATTGCTGCAACTCACTTGTCCCGTTTGCTGTGCATTATTTGGATCTCCGCTCTCCTTGCCCCAACTACACTTGACCGTTTGACCATTGATGTCCGTGTTGTGCACCGCAACGATAGCGTGTGTTGCCGATTCTTTTGTGGAAAATCTGAAAAATGAGGGAAATGCACGAGTGTTAGTGCTCGGGCGGCTGAAGCATTTGTCTTCAGTGGAGTTTTTTTTTTTCTGATTGAGGAGAATGGGTGGAATAAAAGGGAGGAAAAGGGGGTGCTTCCTTGTGAACGAAAAACTGTGGGCCTCGTTAGGTACTCGGCTTTTTTTTGGCTCCTCTGTGTGCATTACCTCACGAAGGCGTAACCCTTGTCCTTGAAGACTCGAATCTCCTGGATGGAACCAAAGGGTGAGAAGGTTTTCTGCATCAGTTCCTCGGTGAGTCCGTTTGTCAGACCACCGCAGTAGACCGTACAGTTTGTCGGGCTGCTCTGATTGTACACCTCGTCGAATGTCAATGGTTTGGCATTTGCTGGAAGCAGAATATTTTTTTTTTTCGTTTCTGAGACGTTCTTGGCTTTATGTAGGTTAAAATTTCGCAACTGTGATTGCTTTCTACTCTGCTAGGCTATTATTCATAAAATTCAAAGATCAAATGAAAATAATAGAAAGGGAATCCCATACTGTGACACGTATTTTAAAAATATCGCTGGACATCTTGAATAAGTGAAATCAGCTGATGTAAAATTGTAGGACAAAGGGGGAGAACTCGGGAAATGGGTCGCCGAATTTTCACAATTTTAAATAATTATCAATACTGTGTAAGCCGAGTAATAAAATTTGGTGATGTATGACCACCGAAATCCAGTGAAATTCCATGTAAATTCATGCTCGTTAAAAAATCGATGTTTTTACTTTAAAATCGCAAGAGTAATGTTGCAAACGTGACGAATGATATTTGGCATGAAGGAATATATCCAGTTTCTATTAAATCATTCATCATTTTTAATAATTCAACTTTTCCACAATTACAACGCACCCATATTTGGCTGAAATTTGTCCGTCTGACCTAATTTTCCTGTAAAAAGCCATTAAAATTTAAACTACCTTCACATTCGTACTGAATTTCCATTCCCCATCATCAATTCATCAATTTCCAGAATATTCAGAAATTTCCCTTGAAAATATCCCATTAGCATCGAATCCATTGGCAGTGCCAGCGGTAATACATGAATTTCCACTGGAAATCACCGGATTTTATTGCAAAACCTATTAAAGTATCGGTGGTAATTACGCGTAAGAAAAGTGATATATAAGCATCGTAATATCCCGAGTGAACATAAATACCGTATCGGTAATTCGTCAAGTTATATCCCCATCCTAAACAGGAATGAAATAACTATTCCGAGTGCACGAACGAATGCACCCGTGTCCGTGGGGGTGTGAGAGGGTGACGGGTTGCAGCAAAGGGGTAAAAGTATTATGGAATACAGCCTAGCTAAGTACGTCGCGGAGATGGCGTGACCATGTATCCTTGACGAATAAATCAATTTAACGAGAGAACCTCCGTGGTGGTAGACGTGCGTTAGTTTCCTTTCTTTTTCATTCCACGGTTCTTCCTCTCTTCACCCTCGCTATCTCCACCTTTCTCCCACAAACGCCACATCTTCCTCCCCAGATGATCCATCTTCCCATTACCACGGTCTCGATCATTAACTAATACTTGCGCCCCTATTTTTCACTCCACACCTTTTTTCCCCCCGCCGATATACGTAATGTAACTTTCCTCTTTGCCACTGTGGAGCAAACTTTTATCGGAGACTCATGCGATAAGGGCTAGCGTGAAAAATGTAAATTCTTATTTTATCTGACCCGCTTTTGCGGGCGGCAAAATTGTTGGTGTTTTTTTTTTCCTCCTCCCCTCCCCCCTTTCTCGGAGAGAAGAGAAAAGAATGTGCAGTATAGCCCCAAGACAAGTACTAACTTTACGATCGGCCCTTCATCCTGTCTCGTCAAACCCCTATCCGCAAACTTTATGTTTACAAGCATCCTATTTTCATCCACAAGAAAACGTACGATTACGTCGTAACCCGCAATATTCGAGGAATAACCCGTGGAAAATTGTTGGGGTGGTTGAAAATAAGAGGGGGTTGGTTAATAGCTCACATCCTCGGGGTATAAATTTTTAATAAATTCAAACACCAAGATCAGAGTAAATCAAGCTTGAAAATGTTAAAGTTGGGTTGGGGATAGACTCTAACCGAGGCAACCGCACCTGTTGAACCCCTTTGGCGAGACGATCAGAAGGGAATTTCACTCTTGATGAATTTCGGTGATACGACAGGACTCGGGTAACTGTGAATATTCACCGCGGGTAGCCAGCCATTGGGAATGGCATGATGGGTATGTCACGTCGGTCTCTCATTTCCGACTATTTTTTTTCACGGATATTGCATCTGGGAAATTAGGGGGATTTGGTCAGTGGGAGATGGAAGTCGGGCTCTGGGTATCTAATGGCGGTGTTTGCGTCGATTGTACGTAATCGATCGGTGTAAGAGCAGCTGAAGCACTATGAGTTTGCAGAATCGAGTCTAGACCAAATGTACGTGCCTCACTCTTGGGGCTTTACTTGTGAATGCGAGGGTGGAACAACTGTGCGGGGATTTTGTCTGTTCTCTGGGTGCCACCGTTTCATCCTCTACATTAAAAAAAAACCAACTTGGATATATAAATTCCCAGAAGTCTCAAATAAAGTCGCCCCAAGTCTCAATTCTTCAATTTTGCAAAAAAATTCTGACATGCAAAAATCTTGAGTGTTAACTGAATTTCTCAACTGGTTAAATCATGAGTTAAATTAAATTATTAAAGTTCTAAAGACATGTAAAAGTCTCAATATCATAAATCGAAAAATAAGGTTTGATTTGATTGTATGTAGCTGGTGAGTAGAGAGCCAAGGCAAGATTTGTAGTCTCAGCATAAATTGGAGCTTTCGTCCCCTTTCCCATTGTAGGTACCTAATAGATTGGCGGCCTCAATAGAACTGGCCCAATACCTTCCATTTGCCTCGTGTTCACCGTACAATACCCGTGCTCCTCCTCTCTTTATCACTTATGTAACCACTGACACGCGATTATTGAGACCCCTGGGATTCTTAATTCCGCAAACCATGCAACACTCTCACACAAACATCCAACTCCTTTGTTCATCCCTTTTTTTTCACCCCCTTTTTCACAATATAGTTATTCTTGGAGTCGTATTCTCTTCATTCGGTCATTTACAAAATTTTACCGTTGCAAAAACAACGAAATGGGGTTGGGGGATGCAGTGGAAGAGAATGAGGATGACTGTGAAAATGGTTGGCCTAGAAGGCGAACTGGAGGCGTTCTGTGCAGTGGTGGCTCACTTAGTAACTACTCACAAGTGACTGCTACAAATGCCACACTCCTCTCTCGCAACTTTGCCCATTCCCAACCTACTCGCCCTTTTCTTCTGTCCTCTCTTCACTGCGCAATGGCTCTCTCGTTTCCCTTTTCTTCGAAGCCCACCGTCTAGTCGAGACTCCACTCTATTCTTTTCTCCCCGCATTTCCTCCCTCATTTCCCCCTACACCCCCTTTCCCCTCCTTTATCCCTCCACCCCCTCAATGCCCTACTCTCCCTCCTCGCCCTCCTCGCCCTCCGCCCCCTCTTCACCCGCATTTTGTTTTCCTTTTATACCATTTTTTCATGGCTTTTTTCTCTTCACTTCGTCCATTTGTGCATTGCCCCTCGCACGCAGCCACAGCTTTTCTCCTTTATTCCACTCCTCCTGGCTTTTTCTTTACCTTCTCCCACAACTGCAACCCAATTGCCACCATCTCACTTCATCTTGATTAACTAACCGCAAAATTACAATAATTTTCAAGGTAAATGGTGGACACAGCATGGCAACAGCTACCAAAATATTTTTCCTTTATTTTTTTTCATTCTTTCCTGCATATGAAAATATAAGCGGGGGGATGAAGGGGGTAGCCTGCACTGTGGCTGGCGTGCCCATGCACCCTCTATATGTATAATAGTCCGTGATAAGTCGAGCACAGTAAAAGAACGCTTCGTGTCGAGTTGTGGAAAAAAAACAGAAAGGGAGAATGTGAAAAGAAAAAACAACTGGGGGTTTAAAATAAAAAACAACCAACCCATTTCATGCAAATGCACCATCGTTGCACACTGGGGGGGAGAAGGAGGGAGGGGTTGAATACAACGTGTACATTGTATACCTGTACACGGTATCTCTAGCATGATCCATCCGCAAACCTCACCACGAAAATTGTTTTGTTCCAATGAAATACCCACCAGTCGTCACGCGAACAATTATCACGGCTTAGAATCATATCTGTACGATTTTCACCGATGCGTCCACAATTTTTTCCACTTTTTATTTTTTAAATTCATTATTCATCCACGGCGCATGGCCTTTTCTCCTCACCCCAACCACTCAATGATTTTCCACCGAATAAAACAAGTGCCCCGAGTATTCTCCTCATCTCGCCTCAACTACTGAATAAACAACTCAACTTTTCATTACTGTATCGACAATTTAATGAAAAAAAGGAGACGGCAGGCGGAGGGAAAAATGAGACACGCGACGGGAAATAAAGGCTCCCCCGGCGACGGGATAAAAACATGGTATAAGAGAAAGAGGTGGCACAAAACGAGAGGGGACAGGGGGACGGTGGATGGTGAGGGAATGAGAGGGGAAAAACGCGACAGCGGTTGCAGATAAAAAGCGGGAACAAGGAGAGAGTAAACTCGTGGGGGAGAGTTAGTAATGCTCTGGTGAACGGTGTGTACGATCGAAGTTGGATGGGTGCGAGGTAGAGAGATGATTCAGAAGAGCTATCTCATACCAAAAGCTCGCCCTCAAGAGCTTCAGCCACAAAAGAGTTCGATAATGCTTTAAACGTTTTGCAGTTGATACCTAAGGGAATATCAATTTTCCCACAGTGCGCGTTGCTGTTCCAGCCAATTTACTATGCACGCTTGGGAAACGTGGTGGTGTGGCCGCAGGCTGTTGTGATACGGACGGCCAATCAAAAAATTTGCCCCGCGAACCGCTGCGGCGCAACAAGCGGAACCTATGAGGGGGTGAAGAGGAGAGAGGGCCTGTAGCCAGAAAACAGAGTGAATGTGGAAACGAAAAGCAGAAGGGTGTGCAGTGGCGATTCACGGGGAAAACCAGGGGCCCAGGGGGTGGTGAGTGGTGTGGCGGGAGCGGGTGACAGGGGTGAAGGTATAGAGGGTATAGGTGGACCGTCGACAGCGGTCGTTCGGGGGTTCGTTGGCAGTTTCGCGTGTTGACGTTTCATTGGGCGCGTTTCAGTCGCGCGTACACGTTCCACACTCTGGCAGGTCGGTGCCCCCCCCCCTCCCCCCTTCCCTTCCTCCCTCCTCGCCCCTTATGCCCCCCGCGTTCAAATACTCTTCAAGCATTTTTTTTTTGCGTTTATTTATATCCTGAATGTGTGTCTGTCAGCCGATGGCCCACGGCATGCAGAGCGTAAGTACAAAGACGAGAGGAGAAAAAGGGGGGAATAACAGTTTTTTTTTCTCCTCTTGTGCGTTTTTTTATTGGTTTATTTTTTTTTGTGCTGCAATTTTTTTTTGCTGTTTTGTTGGCGGAGATTTTTTTTTTTTTTTCGAAAAATCCGTCAAGAAAGGGGGCCGACTGACGCTCTGGGCTATGAAAGTAATTACCCACTCGTCTCCATGGCGATATCGTGGACCGTGAAGCCCACTTTTATGGGCGTATTATAGGTGAAAGCGTTGTGCCACCTATCCCCAGGGGGAGGGAGTGACCGGTGCACCGCTGATGGGTTTGGCGGAGAAGGGGAGGAGGGAGGAGGGAGGCCTGCGGGTTGGGTCAAGTCGTCATAATTGGAACGTACATGAGGGTCATTTTGGCGTTGATACCCGCCAAGCGGGTGATGCATTTATAACGATTAAAACCACCTGTCTGGAATACGTGTGTTTGTTATTCGAGAATGGCTTTTTTCGGTGTTATTTTATTTTGCGTTTTTTTTTTCCTCAGTGGGGGATGAAATTGGCGGGGCTGAATGTGCATTTATATTATGTAAATATCAATACGCAATGCCGGTGGCAGAAAATATCGGTTTTTATCAGTGGAGAGGTTGTTTTTTTTTTTCTCTTTTTTTTTTCTGCTGGAAGGTATGGCAAATACAGAGGATGGTCGTGTAACGAGGAAATGTGAATTTTCTCGTGAATTATACGCGTCATTCCCTGGGGGGTATGTGAGAACGACGATCGCTGGGGCTGGGGGACGATCCACGACTTCGGAACGAGCGATACGAAACTTTCGACATTAACCCAACCCCCGTTATAACCGCGAGTCTCTCCCCCTCGCGGTCCTACTCTCTTCTCGCACACCGGCAATTTTTGCACTTTGTGTGTGTGCCGCAAAGTTAACTAATTGCCATGGTCATAAAATATTGACCCAGTTGTTGGAGCAGTGAGTAGTTCAGGGGAAATCGAAATGCACTGTAGGCCTTAGTTGTCGGTGTGTTCATTTACGCACCCCCTGGGCGATTCGTGGGGGAACATTCATTTTGTGGGAATATGTTTTATGGAAAATACCGGGTGGACTACGGAATGCCAGACCAAATATTCAGCATCGGTGTTTTTTTATATGACCAATTTGACGTCGGCGATACACGGAGAAAAAAATATTGTTATTTGTTATAGTACTATTGCTTGTTTTTTCTTCTCCGTGTAGCTATTGCACTCGTCAAAACTTTTATCTGAAAATTTGCAGATCTTCCCCTTGAGAAAATCAAAATTCCCTCCATAAAAGCGAGAATTTACGCGGAAAAATCCGTGGCAAATTGTATCGTTTAGCGAGCGGCGGATCGAATTTTCATCATGTATCACTCTCATGTAGCATCTACAAATTGTTACAAATTCCCATCATGTAAACACCTCACTCTCCCAGCGGAAAAAAAACGTATGTAGGGCAATAGTGAAAAAGAAAAATGGAGAGGACTGAGAGAAAAAATCACGGCTGAGCGAGCATTCTCGTCCAGTAACGAATCGCTCCGTCGTGAAAAATTTAGCCGAGGGCAAAACCCCGAGTAGACTTAAATATTAGCCCGGGTAGGGATCGAAATGGCGGTGCTACAGAGGCAGAGGGTCGGACACACGCGGATGTAGAGTTTTCAGCCGGCAGCACCCAGTGCGCCCCAACGGTGTTCCAACGAGCGCGTGGAGGTTAACTATTTTGAATTTCAAATTGGCCAGAGGCAAGGGCAAAAAAAAAATCACTGCACATATATACCATCCAACACATAACCAACACACATATACATGAACGATTGAGAGGGTGGAGTTTAGTATCGTATGGGAATTGAGGATATTTTTGGATGAGTTGAGTGCATGTTCAAGTAGTCGGAGTGCACAACCCGTCAGACAGTTTTTTATGATTAAACTAAATTTGCAGTGTACGCACTTGATGTCCATAATGGCACTGAAAATACAAGTGCATTGAAACGAAGAGGAGAAGTTGATGATAAAAGTTGGTGGGAAAAGTTGAAGAGGGGTTATAGGGCAGGAGCCTATGCAAATGTCGAAATAAGGTATATAGTACCAGTTACGTCACTCCTGACACCGGAAGTCTGGCAGTTGTCCTGCCAGACAACGGCTGACCTTCCTCTCACTCATTCTCCCTTGATCTTTCTCCCCCCAGAACCCCTCCCACTCACCGACCCCCCTCGAACTAGTTGAAAAACTTCCCATCACCCACCGACCCCTCACCTTCCACCGAGTTCTTGGGACGAATACTAATTAAAGAGGCCGCGAAATGAAATTAGTTGGTCGGCCGGACCTAGGGGAGTGAGCGAGGAGGGGAATTAGAATGACTGAGTGAAATAAAGAGTGAGAGGATCTGGTGGAGTTGCGCCCGGTAGAGCCGCTTATGATAATATAATAATAATACTTGCTCTCTGGTCTCTCGGTGCGGGACTTTGTTCAAGGTGGCACCTTTAAAAAACTCATTACGCATTTGGCTCAAAATTCAAATTCACTTTTCCGCGGTGACTTGGGTGGAAATATAAAGAGCTTTATGTATTTATGAATTGAGAGGATTTACTTATTCACGGGCTAGTGTTTTCGGACTGGGCATTAGTTGGAAAAAAAACTTTAATTCATCATTCGCATGCTGTATTTATGGTCTAATTACTTTAACGTAGAGAGGTGAAAATTATGAGATGTTGGTGGTACTCACCTTCCGATTTTGGAGGCGGTGGTTTACGAGTCGCCCAATTCGTCCTGATGGCTCTACTTCCCAGCCACTGACCATTCATCGCCGTTATTGCACTCTCCGCCTCCTGGAAACAATCGATTTCATAAAAGATACTGATGCTTGGTAAATACTACTGTACAGAGAGTTCAGGTTTAACCGTTGTTACGTTATTCCTGAACTTTTGTTTTCCTCCACTGTAACTGAATCTGACAGCTAATTTCGTGGGGGAAAAAAACAAATTAAATATGAGAGAAATACTATACTGCTCTGAGTTAGTTGTTTTTGAGATTGGAAAAGCAAGCCTCTCAAAGCTACGGTTACGGTTGCAGAATTGTGGATTTAAAAAATTCAAATAACGGGAAATGTACACGGAGAAATAATGTGAAGAATAAGTGGTTAAAAATAATAAATCGTGCACTGATAATGTATTTAAAATCAGAATACATATTCTTAATTGAAAAATTATTGTAAATTGAATTATTGAAATGGAAAAAAAAATTGGTTTGTTTTATTTTGACAGCTACTGACAGCCTCAAATTTTCAATGTTACGATTTCAAATTTAATTTAGTTGCCTCCCTTCCAAGAAACCAATGAAATAAATAAATACCGATGAATGTCAAATGAATCTCTCCATGCACGACAGTGAAAAACTGATCAAACTCCAAAGATAAATGACTAATAAATATAATTAAAACGAATTTTACGAGTATCTCAAGTGAATGGTACAAAAGCTACGATGGATAATACACCCCCGGTTTGAATAACGTGATTACCCTTCTCTATTGTACCCTGCGTTAATCAAGAGAAAATTGGAATCAAAGGATGAAAAATAACGAAATACAATAGGAGCAGATAAATAGAGTGAAGAAAATCGAAGAAAAAGAGGGACAACAGTTCATTCTATTTGGACGGAGGTTATGTTCGCCCGGACCTCGTCACCACCACAAAATAGATGATAAAAGTGAAGAGAATTAGATGAAAAAGTAACGAAATATGAGAAATAAAAAGAAGAATAAAGAGGTCAGGGAGGAAGAGGAGGATCTGACGTTGAAAACGATGAAGCCTCCACCTGGGCTGCATTACCGGTGCATCGACGTAACCTTCCCACGGGATAAAGTATTTCCAATTCGAATTTTCATTCTCCCTATGATAGCGCACATTCGCACTCATTGTGGCTACACCGACGGCAGGGGGGAGATTCGGTGGGGGCGGGGGTGAATTGGGGTGGCGAAAGGGTTGAGGGGTTGTGGGTGTGGGCTAAAGCAGCTCCTCCACTTGGCTCCACTTTCTCTCTTTTTCTCTCTCTCTCTCTCTTTTCTCTCTCTTTTCTCTCTCTTTTTCTCTCTCTTTCTCTCGCCTCCTTTTTCCGACGGCGTTCGTGGCACGTGGCATTTTGGTCTAGTCACCGATTGGCAAAGTTGGATCGATATTAACATTCAACCGCATGTGCATCTATATGCAGGTACATGCCCGACGTAATAATGCCCTTCGAGTGTTACCCGGCATACTTTGACAACAACTTCCCATTTTCACGTTAATAATTTACCAATTCCACGGCTATCCAAGTGTACGGAAAAGACAATCACTTACGTGGCTCTTCCAATAAGTTTGCTTCAACCTAGACAATAGGCAAAACGCATGAAAAAATCACGAGACCCCAATAAAGGGCTGACTCGGTCACTGGAAACTAGTCCACGAAAAAAAAAATTGAATTAACCAATTGAAAAAAAAATATTATTATTAAAACCGCTCGCCCCTTCCACCCACTTCGCACATATACCCATCACAATTGTCGCACATTGCTCCACCGATATAACCATACCTCGTATGACCTACCTCTATCTCGTGGCACACGTGGAGTTTATATACTCCGGTGTAAAACACCGTGCGCCAGGGGCCTTCCTCAAGACGTTGACGCATCGAAACGCGATAGCGTCGAATATACGCGCCACTATAAACAACCCTCTTGGATGCATCCGGAAAATTTATGCTCTCTCGCCGACCTAATCTCAGCACACGGGGGATGCGCGCCTAGGCGTTACCCCCCAGTCCCCCTCGAGCCCCTTTGGTCGACCGGACGCCCCAGAGGGTAGGCCACCACTACCAACCCGAGGGCACCACACCAGATCGATACGGCATTAAAACAGCTGCCTTTGGCCAGTCCCGGAGTACAAGAAGAATACCTTCAACCCATTCCCTCAGTGCCCCCCCAAACAATGCAACTCCCTCCTCAACCAAGTATCCAGCGTTGCCCATATAACGTCCGAGCGTGGGAAAAGCCTCCTTCCTCACCTGGCCCCGTTACTATATGTCCTCGCAGTGATTTACGCCGCGGATTTTCGGCTCCCATACCATCAGGCCAGTGAGTGCGGTTCGGACGACACATGACTGTCTCTGAACTCCCAATATATTTACAGCGAGGCTAAAATTCTACAAGCCCTCAAGGAAAAACAGTGGAGCCACGTGAGATAAGCCGCCATAACCAGGGGTAAAGGACGAGCGAGAAAGAGAGAGAGAGAGTGAGAAAAAAAAACGTCGTTTCTTCTTGGGTGATACCTATTCGAAAGGGAGGAAGAATGAGGGAGAAATAGCCAGGGGGTGTGAGGGGATTGAGGGGGGTGGCAGCCGAATGGAATGGATCGTTGGCTCGATCATCGAGACTCTATTCCCTCAAGGGATTCCCGAGTCTCATCTCCGTGTGGGCGTCGGACGTCGAACATTACCCGAGGCATGGGGAGTTTCATATATATCTATATATTTTTTTTTCTGCAAGGCGCGAGAGGAGCGAGCGTCACATTATCTTACGGTTATTGCTTCACGCGGCGCTACTCGCGGACGTTGAAAATTGATATTGGATGAATCCTCTTGGCCCACACATACACCTGTTTCTTTCCCTCGCGTTTACAGCCACTGTCTCTCGTTCTTCCTCAACACCCATTTCATCCCTCCCCCGATACACCCCCCCGTCTTATCCATCCTGTCATCTTTCACACGTTTATACCTCCGTCAATATTGGCTTCTTCATATTTTATATATAGGTACAGCGAATAGCCTTGTATCGTGGGATAGGTCACACTGACGAAAGAATTATCTGATACGGATTTTTTTTTTTTTTTTGGTTTACTTATTTTTTCGTCGTATGGTGCTTTGTTGGGTTTTTTGAATTTTGCGGTAGTAGATGCCATTTCAAGAGAATTCGTGTCTCATTTTTGGAAAGGTTAAATATATTTATTATATGTTAGATTAGACAGATGAATTCTTTTTCTAAAATCAAGTAGCTTGAATACTTGAAAATACGCAATTCGCTATCCTCCGAGAAATGTATTGAAACTGGATGGAAGTTCTTTTTCTACTGATCAGAAGTAACTTTTTGTTAGTGGGAATTTTCTCCACTCCCATGGATGTTCACGACTTGGAACGATTTATCTGCACCAAAGTGCAGATAAATTTCAGGCGAATGTAAATGCGTCGTTGTTAAAAAATTTCAATGCTTCAACTTGAAACTTGAGGAGTAATTCTCCGACAGTGCCATTAAACTCACCGCTTTTTTCACGAACGAGACGAAGCCATATCCTTTGGATTTCAAGGTCTGTGGATCCCTGACAACTCTGCAGTCACTGCAACATAAACAGGATTAAATTTTTCAAGCGATGTATATACATGTCGTCCTTTCTGCTTTAAGAGGGCACTGCCCTTTCCGCAAACAGCTGACAAGCAACTGGCTCGTTTATACATAGACACGAGTATTGGATAAAGCGAGAGACAGAGAAATCAGAGAGATATGTCAAGGATAGTACAGAGGACAGGAGCAAAGAATGTTTCAATTAAGTTTCTAATTTCTATGTATAAATTGGGAATAGGGGTGAGGATCCACGACAGATCGATGAGAACCCACTACCACTGACCCAAGAACGCAGTGCACGAGGATAAACCCCCCCGTCAGGGAGAGTAGAAGGCTTTCTGGCTCGAGCTAAGTAATCGATAGCCAGCGCAAAGGGGGGCAAGAAGCTGGCGACCATCTAGGTTAGAGTTACAATTCTCGACTCTGCGCCCCCGAGTATTTCCACTTCTCGACTTCTCCTTGCCACACAAGGCTCCGGGCTTTTTCCTCAACTTCTTTTCTCTTCCCTTGACAAGAATCTTTTTGCCATAGCAGCGAGGGAGGGAGTTTGCTCTCCCTCTCAGCACCAGGGATATATTCGAGGAGAGAAAAAAAAAAGAAAAGAAAAATGAAAAAAAAAAAACCCCACCGGCGGGAAGGTACACTTTGTCCAGCTGTACCCTTTTCTTTTCACCTCGACCAACTCGTTACTCCAACATCTCCCCTCTCACCCCTCCCACCGATAATTCTCGTTACACTTTGATCCACGAGATCCAGCCAATTATATTCTCGTGACCATTAAGATGATATCAATGCCAGCAGTTCAAAACTTTGTTACCCAGAATGTATTATATTTAATTGATAAGTACATGCACGCGCGTATTTACGTATTTTCCCATGAAGTTGGTAGGTAGTAATTAGTGCGATCAATCAAAATCTCTGAGGGCTGTTTGAAAGACGTGAAAGCTCCCATTTTCTCACACCATCGTCCACCTCTTTCTATACCCCTCACGTACATGGTATAGGTAGTGCATACAGTGAAACATAACGCGTTGACGTATGGGTGCTTTAGCCAGATGCATCAGCGGTGAGACTCGAGAGGCAGCGGATAATGTTGAGTAATGGTCAATACAAGTTAAATGGGATAACACGCCACTGGCATATGCCGAGCTCCCGTTGTCCTGTTCGTCCATACACCCGTACTTAAACCACCTTCCAAGTCAACCATAACCCTGTCCTCCAGGTATTGACCATCTTTGTTCACCGGGTACTCACAACATGCCGTATCCTCGCTCGGTGTTTGGTGTTCGGGTCTCCAAGGCCTGCACATGTCCCACTGTTTTCAACTCGTGAACACAAACACACCCCAGCAAAATCCCTCACTTTTAGCCATGGCACCCTCTCGACACCGCGAAACAACGGACAACAGTCAACGCGTTGTACTCTAGCCAAGTCATAAATTAATGGGCGGTTATTGACGCGATAAATCTGGAAATTTAATACAAGGCAAACAGCGTCGATGGTAGACCAAGCCTTGTTCTCTTATTCCAACACAACGGCAAGCATCCCTCAGTGGTAATACGACATCACACAACACACAATTCTCTGCCCCTGTGCATCCACCGTGTCTCACTCACACACCTTTATTTTTTCTATTTTTCCTCGGTTGGTCTCGTGTACGTGCAACTTCAACCCGTTCATCTCCCATTCTCTCGTTCCACCATCCCTCCACCGTCTCTCTTGCACCCTTGGAGGTAAATTCAGGAGGAAAAATCCACCCGGCGCTCCTCCTCCACCTCGTTCGTCCTGCCGTAGTGCTTGCGGGGCCAATCCGCCAGAAGAACACCAAATACTGCTCGAAGGAACAGGAGAAAAGAGGGAATCGACTTATTTCCGGGACACCGACTATTCTCTCCTTTATTCGTACAAGTGGATATTCCGCTTCCACGAAGAATTCATGAATATCGCTTCCAGGTATATAGGTATATAGGGAGAATGAAAGAAAAAACGAGGGAGAACCTATCTTCTTACGTAGGGTTTGCAGTGCCTCGTGTCTTGAGTAAGAATAATTCTTTCAAGATAAAAGCCGCCAGACGAGACTGACATTCAACCCACATCACTGGTACTGTCTGGGTTGGGGTATATCTTTACTACTTGCTGCCCCGAGACGTCCGCTCGAAGATGTTGAGCATAAGTTATACTCAGGGGGATAGTGTGCGCCGGGTTGGGGAGTCTCTTCGGACGGAAAACACATTACAGATCGATTTTTTGACGACCGATGAAGCCGGTGTACCAGAGCAAAAGCGAAATACCGAGTGGAGGATGAAAAAACAACAGTACGGTGGGTCACGGATTGGCAAAATCGTGTATCGTCATGCTTCGGCTGACATTCTTCAGCACACAGTTCAATCGCTCCTAAAGGAGGTAAAAAATTATTCTCCTGCAATTTTCATCGGGTCTTTTCATTCTTTTTCAACCATCAGCAAACGGGCCATTCGTTATCAGCGGCGAGGCTGGGGCAGGGTTGAAAAAAGCCAGATGTGGAATGGATTCATTAATTATACCGGCAAAGTGAGATGATAGCTTCAACGAGAAATAGGGATAAAAAAAGGCGGCGTGTCAGCGGTATAAAATCTCTGTGCAGTTGCCGCTTACCTGAAAAATTCAACGATGGCAACGGGATAAGCGGAAGGAGCCGATGAGGCGAATCTTTGCGGTGGTACCTATAAGGATAGGATGAAATCGCTTTGGATTTGGCGAACATCAGGGTCTCCAGAAAAGTCCCTTGGCGGGAGGTAAAACGTGGAAGATAGAGAAAGAGGGATGAGATGAATTGAGAAACTAAGAGGTAAAAAAGAAACTGAGCGGAAGAAGGCGCAAGAGAGGGAATTGGCGATTCATCAATCCTGGCTCCGGTGTATAGGTATAGTACAGAGCAATCCAATGCGATAACGAGGCAAGACGGTTAGCAGTCTATGGCCGTTATAACTCGGAATTTCTTTATTGGATGCTTTGACACAACCCGCCGCGATATACCTATTTGTTGGGAGATGACAACTCGTTACTGGTGATTTAAAAGCCCGCGTGGATTATTTGTAGTATTATGGGCTACCAGTCTGGCAGATAAGTCATGGGGATAGTCAGAGCTTGGGAACAGCCGATTGCAATGCGCAGTGACTGATGCTCAGTAATATTGAGCGAGTTGTGAGTAACATTAAGTATTTTATTTTTACAACAGTGCTAATTGTTTCAGCAAAAAATCTATCTCAATACCTGAACTCCAATAATTTACCAACAAATTTTGATAAATGACCGATTATTCCAATTAATTTTAAAGCCACTGTGACTTATGTTGGGTGGAATGGGGAGGAACGGAGGATATAAGTCACGGGGACATTGATAGAACTAGAATAGTGAGGTGCAACGCGTTGTGAGTGGTATTGAGTACTCCTGAGCGAGTTGTGAGTAATATTGAGGGTTTAATTTCCGCACCGCTGGCATATGAATTCCAAGCGGATTGAATAATTGTGGGGTTCTGGATAGGTATTGTTGTTGTCCCGGGTATGGGTTGGGAGTAGGAGGAGAGGAGACATCAGGCTCTGAAGGAATCAAGGTGGGAAGGACCGAAAAGTGGTGCGAGGGATGATATCGCCTGTACCAGTGGCCTCATACCACGACATTGTATAATACCTCTTGGTGTATTTTCACCATGTAAGCCGCTTATATTAATGCACCATGGTCTATGACACTGTTAGGTGGGTAGAGAGGTGGGTGCCACAGGAGTGAAACCCCCTTACTCCGTTCATATCCCCTTCCATGGCTCCTGGTAACTGCCAAGCCATAGAGAATACCCCAACTGCTTCCATATCTCCTTACCCTCCTAGCTTCCTATCCAAAAGGGTTAACTGCACCAGGCGTAAACGAGATTATTACCAAGATAACGGGTAAAATTAACTGCAAAATGTAGCGTTTTACTGCTGCCCATGTTATGGTAATTTTAATAACATATTTATTGCTGGACAACTTGCAAAGGCGTTGAGGAAGGTCGAGGGAGAATGAGCAAGAGGGCGGTAGGGGGAGGTCAAGTCTGCATAGTTTTGGGGAACGGGAGACAAAAGACAATGGTCACGCTTGGCGAATATGATAGTGTCGCGTCGCTGGCTTTTCCATTAGTAGTTAGCACGGTGGTTTAGAGTCACACGAGTAAGTTTCACCCCCTCTTTCCATCCCACCTTTCAACCCCTTTCAACGTCAACGCGGACGCAGACGAGTTGATCGTAATAAACACGGACTACGTATGATCTACATGGCCTTAATGGCATCAACGGCATTCACGTTCGCTTCGTTCATTATGTTAAAATGGAAGATGAAAGAGAATTTCGATGCCTCGAAATACTCAAATATTCATGAGTACAAATACTCGTACGGCGTTGGTTTTTTTTTTATATTGGGTCACTAGTGGTAAAATATTGTTGGGGGTCGTTGAAATATTCTTTCGAATTTTCTACGATGCGGAAAAGCTCGGGGGATTTTCAAACAGCTTGGAGGAATTTATATTTAAACGTGAAATTCGTTACAAGCATGCATTACAGTGCAAGTATGGAATACTGGGTCTTATTGATTCAATGATGATGTCGGCGGCTATGAGTCTGGATGACTTGAAACATCGACGGATGTTTTTTACTGGTTTCTTTTAATTTCTTGTATGATTAATTCTCGTCTGACTTGGTTTTGTTGTCGGGCAAAGTTTGAATAGACGCGCTATACACGGGGTTTTGGTGAAATTGTTCTGCATATCGATTGAAACTGTACCAGTTTGATGGAGAAAACCCAATGGCGTGAGTAATTTCCTTACGATTTCCTTACGATCCTGGAGACTAGTTTACCAGTTGGAGTGAGCACGCGCGCACACTAGTTCATGACGCCCTCGTCTGGTGCGGGCTGTGCAGTGAATATATACTCCACTTGAGCGAATATAAGAAGAGGAATATGATGAAGAGGAGAGGATGGAAAATA